AAAGGTTCACTTATTAGTGACTTTTTATACTTTCTGCAGTAGTACAGAAAGTGCTTAATAGGAACTGCCTTGAATCTCAGCTTGTACATTGGGTATTTGAACCTCCTTCATAGCACTTTTAAGTGTGAAATCTACTTATTTTGTTTCCTGAGGCTAGATTCGAACTTTTCAAATTAAATCCCTACTTTTTTCAATTTCTGCGGCTTTGAAAATGGGTATACAAACCACTTAGCTAAATTTGTATACAACCATATACACTTAGAACTGCCTTATAAATTGAACCGATGTAAGATTGCGCAATTACAACTTAAAAGTGCTTTTTGTATACCGTAGTACACCAATTTCTTCGCTAAAGAACTTTTTAGTACTTTTCCATGTTGCTATATTAAAATTAGTTTGCTAAGTGACATTTAATAGCACTTCTCTTTCTCGGGACTTAAGATGGATTTACTATTCAGTTTGCGATTGGATTTTTCTGTGCAACTTAAGCAAAGCTACTCTTCATATGAAGCAATTCTACCGACTTAGCGAATGCGCATTCAAAAGGGATTATCTAGTCATGCATTAAAATAAGTCCTTAAATAACAACAAAAATTACTGAATAGCACTATTGTTAAAATAAGACTAATATCGAATGTACTTGGTTAAATAGTGGCGAAGTAATATTGAGCACTTGCCGAAGATAATTTTTCTATTCGGAAAAAACATAGTTTTACGAGTCAACAGTTCTGAGAGAAGATGAAAAAAAAAGAACTATTTTTCCATTGTAACTCTAAAAATATAAATTTTCATTGAAACATCTACTACTTAGTTTTACATGGGGTGTAGGTGTCAGTTTGTAGATAATTCTGCGTCTGTATGTGGGTTTGAATATTGATGTATGGAATAATCTAGCCCACAACTAAGCTTACAGTTTTCGTCACTCAGAGACCAAGTTAAACCGAGTTTTACTCATTCGAGTTCAGCTCGATTTGGTTCGTTGTCGGTCTCGGGTCAATAATGATGATGATTTCAAATGTTTGTCGATTCAAAGATGTCTAAAGAAGGATTTCTATATTCAACTAATAAAGACTATCGATATTATTCAGAATTGTGCCTATTTCGAGAACCAAAGCAGAAAGTATCACTTCATGTGCTCTCGAAATCTGGTTTGCAACTCATAAAGTTAATGCATATTGTAGCATGTTTATTTATTACCATCTTATAAGCTTTTTTAATGAAACAAAAATCTACTCCACTTTTATTTGAGTCAGAGAAAAACTGAGTTTCAAGCATCGCAATATTAGAAACATGGAAAACGATTAAAGGCAGCATTCACTTGCGAATTCTATCAAAGCTGATTTTATTGTATCGCATTAATTAACCACAGGAATTGATATCCCTGTTGAATATTGTTTAATGCAAAATGCCGTCTTAATAGGCAACTTAAAAACTTGAGAACTCGAACAGTAATTCAATGGAATTAAAGTAAAATATAGTACTCAAAATCTCTCATACTTCCTAGCTGTAGCTCGGATTTACATGTGTTCCTAGTATAAATCAATTCTCTAAATGTATAATGTTCTATAAATTGTTTCTCTCGTTACCAATAGTGTAATGTAAAAGTTCTCGAATGAATTCAAAAAAAAGACCATAAGTGTTAATGCCTATTATTGACGAACCAAGAGTACTTTTTATTACTCTACAAGTATCTTAAAGTACAATCAAGTACTTAAGAAAGTATCGCAGTCAGTATATTACACTTAGCATCGAGAAAAGTACTAATAAATACTTTGAAAAGTATCATAGGTAAGTATGGCTAGTTTTTCAAAACTGGAAGTACTAAAAAGTACTTTATAAATTGTATAAATGAAACTTATAAACTTTTTCAGTGAAAAAAAAGTATTATTTCATATTTTCAAAGATCAGAAGTACTAAAAATTACTTCCGTATAGGTACGAAGTGCAAAAAAGTACTTCAGAAAGTAAAATAATTAATGTTATTTACTACATAGACAAGGAAAGTACTTAATAGTACTTTGAAAAGGAACCAAAGTCTTTCGAATTACTTTTTCGAGAATTGAGAGTACTCTAAAGTACTTAAAAAAGTAGCAAAAGTGAAAAAATTTACTAAAAAAAAAAGGTGAAAAATAGTCCGAAAAGTTACTTTATTTTATTTTATTAATAATAAAAGTACTTATAAGTAGATTTTTTTCACTTTTACTGTTACATGGAAATGGCAAATTTAAATACTCATGGATTCAAAGCTCTCTAAAGAAGGATTTTTCTACTCGTCTTATATAAAAGCCATTGATATTGTTGAAAAATGTGTCTAATTCAAGCACTTAAACGGAAATTGCCACTTCATGCGTTTTTCTAACTTGATTCATAGCTCGTAAATTTATTTCATATTTGATCTATGTTTATTACTATCTTATGAACCTTTTTAACTAAAAAACTTATTTTACCTTGATTTAAAAAAATGCTGCTAATAAGTGCGAGAAAAGAGTTTCAAGCGTCGCAATATTTGAAACACAAAGAAAACAAATTAAAACCATCATTCACTTATGAATTCGACCAAAGGTAAGTTTATGATATCGTATTAGAAAACAACAGATCTTGGTATTCACCCCATGTAAAAAAAAAATAGCAAAGAAGAACACTATTAAGTACTTTTAATATAAATACAGAAAAATAGATTAAACTTTCTTTACTACTTTTCACGTTTCCTAATGAATTTTAGTACTTTTTCAGACTTTCAGTAGTACTTAATAGTACTTTTAATCAAAAAGTATGAAAGGTACTTAAAAACGTTCATTTAGAAGTATTATTTCCTGTTTAAAAAAAAAACTATTGAAAGTAGTTAATAGTGTTTTTTTTTCATACTTTTTTTACACGAAATGTTGGATATTATTTAGTACCAATGCCCTCTTAATACACGATGTGACTAGTAAAGAGCTCAAGCAGTAATTTAATTCAATTGAATTAGTATTTAATCCTCAAAGTTTTCCATATTTTCTACGTGTTAATCGGGTTTATAAGTGTTGCAAGTATAAGATCAAGTCTCTAGACGTAGAAAGTTCTACTAATTATTTGTTTTGTTACCACAAGTGTCATGAAAGACCTTTCATAATTGCAAAAAAGATCCGCAAATGAATTCAAAAGGTACCATAAGTATTAATCCATATTATTAAAAAAATCAAAAGTACTTTCTTATTACCTTTTGAAAATCAGAAGTACAATACAATGCTATAGAAAGTATGAGAATCAATATAATGGACTTCATGATTTGGAGAAATTATTAATGCTTTTCAACATCAAAATAACTTTTTATTAATTCTTGAAACTAAAAATTAAATATAGGAATTGATCAAATACGCTTAATGATTTCTTGAAGGTACTTTTAATTACTTTTCAATACATTCAAACTACTGTCTGTCAGTTTTTGGAAAGGTAGAGGCACGATCGATAAAATGCTTAAAAAACTATAAAAACGAATATATTATTCTTGATAATCGATGAAAATACTATTGAATACATTTTAGCATATTGAAATATTTTCTGATTAGTATTTAAAAGCTTAAAAACAGAAGTAATTGCTTTTAACAATATACAATCAGTTCACTATACTTTGGGATTATACATAATACTAAAATCCTTCTAAAAGTAGCAATAATACTTTTTAGTACTTTTTAAGCATGTTAAAGTACAAGTAAATACTTGATAAAAAATATCAAAATCGATATATTATACCTTCCATTAAGAAAAAGTACTACGAATTACTTTACAAAGTAATTCAAAAGTAACTCTAAGTACTTCTTGGAAAACGGGAAGTACCACAAAGTACTTTATAAAGTATATAAATTAATATTATAAACTTCGTGACCGAACAAAGTACTATTTAGTATTTCCAAAAGATCAAAAGTACTAAAAATTACTTCTTTATGTACCGGAATTACAAAAAAAAAGTAATTCGAAAAGTAAAATAATTAATATTATTTACTATATAGACAAGAGAAGTACTTAAGAGTACTTTAGAAAAGATCCAAAGTTTTCCTAATTACTTTTTCAACACTCGAAAGTACTAAAAAATACTTTATAAAGTGTAAAAATTAATATTTTTTACTTTTCTGGGAAAATAGTACTTAAAAGTACTGATGGAAGTTGAAAAAGTGAAAAAAAGTTACTGGAAAAGGTGAAAAATAGTAGGAAAAGTTATTTTATTTCACTTTATTAAACGTACATGTCTAGATCAGTGCACCTATCTACAATCACCGTTGTAACCTTTTTTGTAATCGGGATAAACTTGTGCATGTCTAATCACACATGTTCATGAAATATTATAACCGACGTTGTTGTTAAGCTACTCCTTTGATTTGTCTTTACAGCATTCTGAATCTAATGTTTTCCTTTAAAATGATGAAGAAATTTTTCCACATAATTCACTTCATTTGTCTCCATATTTTGATAATATGTAGAAGGTCACTAAAGTAATGTAACCTTCAACATTTTTTTGCTCTTGCTTAGATTTGATCGACATATCGATCTTTTAGTAGATTCTTCCTGCAAAAGTCCAGTATTTGAAAAAACTATACTTGGAAACTTCGACTTCAAACATTGCATACATAAAGGTTTTGATTAAAGTATCTCATATACAAAGTTTCAGGTCAAAACTTCCAAATATAATTTTCGATCGAAAACTGAACTTCTGCAGGAAGGAATCTACGAAAAAGTTGACATCTCGATCAAATCTAAACAAGAGCAGAACAATATTGAAGGTAGCATTACACTACTGATCTTTTACATATTAACAACATATGGAGACAAATGGAGCAGATCACCGGGAAATGTTTCTTCGTGAGTATATGAAAAATTCATAAGAAATAATTTGATGAATAATGTACGAAAAACAACATTCTATACAATTAATTATAATCCAAGCATTTCATCGAGATTCATCAAAGACTCAATGTCTAATGAAATCGGCGCTAAAAATACTCTTCAATAATATTTCAACAAACAATGTCAAATGATATGTTACATCGCCAAGAAATGAGCAAAAATATAGCAGCAATTATTGATGGTTATGTTAATAGTATATACAATGAACATGAAAAAGAAGATGTATCTAATTTATCAATCCCTATAATTCAAAAGAAACTTAAGAAGATTAAGTATAAATATCATTTTTATTTTCTTTCTAATAAATTTTGTTCACGTCTATTTTTTTTTTGTAAAGCGAACAACAAATATTTCTTCATGTTGAAAATCGTCTTTTATATAATTATTTAATATGGTATGAAAAGAAAATGATTCTAAATCAAGATCAAGAAAAGAAAGATTCCGATAATATTGTTCTATCAAGTAAACAGAATTATAAAATAAAATATAAATTCAATTTTTAAACTAAATATTTAGTATTTAGATGAAATCAAACATATCCCTCATCAAATTTTAAAACATAAAACTAAACAACCATTATCAATTCAAAAGAAACGTGAAATAGCTGAAGCAACTTTTAAAGTTCTTCTTGCTTATTCACAAAAATATGGTACTAATACAATACAATATGTTGATGAATGCATTGTAATATAATAAAAATAAAGTATCTTTAAATTTAAAGTTATTTCTCAATATATATTTAGAATACAATGGAAACTGATGATGAAATCATCGATTATTTAGAACTTGAATTAATTACGTTGAAAAAGTTTATTCAAAAAATCGATGAAAATTTACGTAATGCACAAAAGAAATTTACAGCTGAAGAACTTTTTGCTTTCGTTCACGATCGAATTCGTTATCGAGTAAGTTTTCATACGTACCTAATCGTGATATAATGAGTAAGTTTCTTCACAGTTTCAAGTTCTGCTGAAAATCTCCACTTGGATCATGTACTGCAGTGTTTTATTCAGCGTGAAGGCCAACGAAGTAGTGCTCCCGTGGAAGAGAAAGTCTGAATAAAACACTTATGTGCTGAAATAATTTTCAGTAGGATATCATGTGACATACTGATAACAGGAGACCCGATAAGGTAACCTGTTGACAATTGACCAAGTGCATGGGTACCTTGAACTCAGTGCATCGGGCTAGAGTACTGAAAAAAGTGTATTTCCATTATTTATTCTTATATTGAATTTGACTAGATTTTAATACATGTTTTCTTAAGGTTTGTTTTTATTTTATATTAATCGATAAGCCATTGGAATAAAAAATGCCTTCATCAGTGAAAAGAGTGAATTCTCTAGATTGCTAATGTTCTCTAATGTTAGTATTGAAGTTTTACAGCTTCAACCCGATCTTACGAAACTTCTTCGTGACCTTGTTGAGCAACTTATACCTTGCATGATATAATCGGCAAATATTCAATCATCATTTGGTATGTTATTGTTCGCGGAATGGAATAGACTATTGAAACAGTCAAAATATTTGATAGTAGTTTATTTTCACAAACATTATGAACTTTGTCAATTTGCTACTTCACTAGTTTTCCAAAAGGATTGCAAAATTTTTCAAATATAATCTACATTTGGTGTTTAAATGCCATAGTCGATTGGTATTTTTGTGTTTCCAAAGGATAATTCGACTCACATTGAACCACTACCAAAATTATTTGTATTCTAATGTTTATGGACAAAAAAATTTTATCAGAAAATAATTAGAATACAGTTTCGAAGAATGCACTATCATAATATTGAAAAAATATGAACTGCTTTCAAACTTGCTAAACGATATTCACGTTGGACTTTTAGAACATCCTGTATATACAATATACTGATGGTTTACCTTTGATTTTCTTCTTTTCTATAAAAAGAAATTGACATCCGACACATTGATTCACTTCAAATTTTTGAGTTTCTTATCTCGTTTAGTTTGATTCTTATACAATCTCTTTTCCGTATTCTTTTTTGTTTACAGGATGCATTGAATGAAAGAGTATGTTACAAACATTAGATGAACAACGCATTATACTTTAATATAATACAATAGAAACGGCAAAAAACAGTTCGTCTTCGTTTTCATATTGATGGTATTGAAAAATCACTTCGAAAAGTTAGACGTATATGTGTTATTCTATTTTTATCTTCTATCATATATAAGAAATTTAGATTCGTCACTTAGTTGATACAGTAACAGAAGTAGATTTTGAACAATTAAAAATTGATATAGAAAAACAATTAAAAGAATTAAATATGAAAAATAAAATGCTTATATTTTATAAACGACAACAATCAGAAGCAAATATGAAACTTAATGGAAAAAAGGTCTTCACTTTTATAAACAAAAATAAAAATTTATATCATTGATATTTTTCTTCTAATATTTATTTAGCCAGAATTATTTAAAGAAATTCGTGCACTTACATCAATACGTAATGAAATCAATAATACAATTCAACAATTAAATCATTACAATGAAGTAAAACGAAAAATGCAAGATGTATTTTTTAAAAAAAATGATGATTTATGTTTATTTGTTGTTATTGTTTTTGTTTTTTTTCGTTTAGGAAATTATTGAATATGAAAAAATAAATGATCCTCTTCGCGAAATGATTACATCCTATCGTGTACCATCAATAAATAATTATGTTGATTTAAAATCTAAACAAATAAATCTCTATCGTCAAATACATGCATGGGAACGTAAAGTAGAAATTGCTGAACGTGAATTACATTTACGTCAAATTGAATCAATAAATTATCCAGAAAAAATTATTCATCCATGGAAATATCTTCAGAATCCATCATCTATTCTTTTCTATAAACGTTACAAAACATTAAGTAATCGAACAAATGAACAATATGAAATTCATGCTACTACTAATGTCAAGAATAAATTGAATATTTCTCTTCCTACATTAAATAACAAATCGGCGATAAGTGTTGACATGTAACTAAAAAATGAATAAAACTATTGTCATGTTTGACTGCATTTTCCTTGTGTTTGAAACCGAAAAATGTGTTTTGGTGTAGAATCAATTTCAAACGGAAAAATAGAAACTCGTTCATTACTGATAGAACTATAATTAAATAACATAAATTTTATATGTTCGTATAGACGCACTAGAGTTATAACCGATGGAGAATTTTTGAATTGATTCGAAAGATCATTTAGATCGGTGAAGACTGGCAAATGCATTTCTATATATAGTACGAAAAAAGAGTAATTTACCCAACAACTGATTTCGAAACTTCAAATTTTGACATTTTTTACTCAACCTTTTTGAACAAATCTAGCGTTTCTTTTACAACGATGACTAAAGTCTATATTTGATCTTTACCAACACACAATGCTGTTTGATTAATTTCATAAGAGAAAACAAACTTGTTCTCCAAAAATTTTATCAGAGAAAAATGGCATATCTATCAAATATGCTCTAATCGGTTCAACTACAACTCTGAAGCATAACTACTCGAACATTTTACACACGATTTGCATATTTATGTATATCGAGGAATCTGCAAACAAATTTTCGATAGATGTACTTTGTTGATATGAGTAAACGTACAATTTTGGAGATATCTGTCAAATTCAAGGCGCCGTTTTCTTTTTAATTGTAACATCTATATGACCTCAACGATAAATGTAGACTCTCGAACATTTCCATCATAGATAAGGATCGTTTAGACAAACTAACAGTAAAAATTTCATTGACTTTTTTTCGGCGAAAACTGAGCTATTCAAAACATATCAACCAATCGTTGCGGAATTACAAAAAATAAAATCGTTTTTCAATGAGTTGAGAATTTTGCATTTTTACTACGAAACAAAGTGACACAAATCCATATTCTATATAAAAGTTGTTCAGATTTCAACAAAACTTTAGACAAACATCAGACCATTTCTTATCAAGCATATTTATATCGAACAGAAAGAAAACAATTGATGTAAAAATTCCTTGAAAACTATTCTCTCATTTTTCATCAGCTAAAACATTTCTCAAAAGCAAAAATCAGACAAATACCTATTAAAAATACACATTGAAAACACTTTCTAATTATATATTTAAAAAAACTCTGTCATATCTGGTACGTTAGCAACAAACATGTCCTTGCATTACATTAAAATATAGTCCGTAAAAAGCAAATCGTAATGACTGCCGCACAAGAGACCAATAAGTGATTATTTTTCAAATTCTTCTATGTGTTCTATCGTATTTTGTTGCTCATTTCTTCATTAGATTAGTCGCTTAATTCTCTAAAAGTCTGGCAGAAAGTAATACGAATGACATCGCTTAAAAATTGGTTCTGTCGACTGCAACTATTACCATTTGCTTTTTACAGACTATATTTTGGTATTTATTAAGGATGTGTGTGTCACTTCAAAGAGTGGCATAATAGAACCCTTTTTGAATATACACTTAGAAAGTGTTCTTAATGTAGATTATAAATAAACATTTTTCTGATGTTTTCGAAACATGGTTTTAGCTGACAAAAAATAAAGCGATACTTTTCCAAGAACTTTTGAAGAAAACACTCCGTTTTGTTCGGAATTCGATGCAAATTTATATACTTATAAAGATTCTGTTACGTTGTATTTCTAGAAAACAAACACAAAAATTAAATCAAACTATCCTCAACGTGGATGTTTTTAATAGAACTTGTTGAGTTCTATCTGAAAGTGTCATCTTTCTTGTGAATATTAACAATATAAGCAAGTTTTATTACGGTATTTCATGAAGAATACTGGTGGTTGATGAAAGCATTATCTTGGTTCGTCGACATCTAACATTTTTATGAAGATTATAGGTTCAAAAAGTACTTCATATTCTATGAAACGACAGTATTTCACTATCATTTTTTAGAGAAATTTTCGAGTTAGTCACTCTAAGAAAGATTTCGTCAATTTGCAAAAATTTAAAGCTGTTGAAAAAGAGAAATGCTCTTATTTTACCTACTCTTGTTCGTACGCTTTTTCAATAGTATGAACTATCGCTATGGGTGGACGGTCGATGGCTGACCATATGGATATGCAAAATTTTTCTTTTTTTTTAATTTATGCACGACAGAATCCACATTTTTTAATGAACCTTTTCATCAAACAAAAAAAGAAAATGTCTGTATTGTTTCATCTCATTTACATTTAAGACGAAATCTCGACTTGTCTAGTAAATGAATTATATTCATAGTTTTATTCATCGGTCACGTTAGACGTTACTCTTCATCAATACCAAAATTTATTTATTTCAACACAATGAATATCACTTACAAATACTTAGCACAAACACTTATTTGAGTATCTAGAGAAAATTTTCAAGTGTTCAAATATTTGCAATACAAAAGAACATCAATTAGAACACTTTACCATTGTCAGAAATAAAGAAAAAGAAAAAAAAAGACGAAATACTTATAGCATCTTTCTATTAAAATAACGTTATGTGTACGTAACAAAACAAAATGGTATTTCTTTATTTACTTCGAACCAATAGATGTGTTCTTTATTTATAAACATAAGTAAATATATTTTATGGTTCCATTTATACATATCGAACGAATAATTATTCTCTAGATCAATAAACTAATGTGTCTTATGGTACTTATGATCTTTTATTTTCCCTTGTGAATGAATCTAATTTACTGATGAACGACAGAAGAATAGAAAACAAAATGAAGATGAGTTGTTAACTACAGAAAGTAATCAACCGCACTATGTGAATGTTCTCTGGATCGATGATAATGAGAAGAGAAAAAAAAAGATGACTAACAATTATGAATATAGTCCTGTTTTTTGAAAGAATTTGTTTTTATCAATAAGTCATTATTATGATTGATCAAATCAACATAGTACCAACAAAAAAACAAAGATGGTATTTTAAAATATCATGATAAGATATTCAAACTTTTTCGTTTTCAAACTGAAAAGTTTGTTTGTTTTTACTTCTCATCGAAATAAGAGATGTTATTGTTATTCAATTGATGCAATCGGTCATCACCATTAATGATTCAAGTGAAGTGCTGACAAGAGAAGTAGATAAGATGTGTATAGACAAACCATCACAAACAACAAATGATTGATTGGTGCCGAATAATCTCTTCTATCTCTCTCTCTCGCTCTCGTGCGCACTATTACACTTCCTGTTAAACACTCAAAAGCTTTCAGTAGCTTTCGCAAAACATAAAGCCGTTGTCAAACAAACATAACATCCAACAACATGACTAATCCTACGTATACTTTTCGCTTGTTATTGTTAATTCTATTCGACAATATATTCAACGTTTAAGCTAGCTGGAGGAGTAAAAAAAATATTCGTTTGAACGTTATTTTAACGAAAGCAAGATATACAAAGCCTATTATTATTATTATTATTATTGTCGGTTTGTCTTCAGGTATGCTATGTCTTATCATAAGATTCAGCCAATTGTTTTTTTGCTCTCGAACATAACAGATAACCGCTAGACGTTTGTGTTGATTTCATTTTACCTTAAATGGCTTCTATGTTGATAATACAATAAGTGAACTCAAAATATATATTCATTTGGCTTTAAGCCAACCAAATATGTTCATCAGATATATAACATGTATAAACCAACCATCTTTTTCTGTTTATTCAGTTGTTCGTTCTTCTGCCAGTAGGATCTTTTCGTACTCTTATTTTCTAAGGTCAGTATGTTTGGATTAATATATATAGAAAGAATAGAAGAAGAAGAAGAAAAAAATCTATCGATGTTGAACGATAGACGATACTCATATTTCTATCATTGAACAAATCGTAGAGACAAGCGAATAATATATAGTTTTGTTAGTATCGACCAAAAATAGCGTTCAGAAAAGAAAAGAAAAAAAGAAAAAGAAAAAAGAAACAGGTCAATGTTCGGTCAAAAATCGAGAGAGAAAGAGAAATGTACATATCTGAACATGTCGCTTATATTAGAGATTGGCCGACCACGGTCGGATGCGACTACATATACAAGCTTTCGCTCGTCTCTACGTTTCTTTTTTTTCCTTTTTTTCAACAACGACACGTAGCCAGAGAGTACATAGAAACAAAACAATGTACAAAGGGTCAATCGCCGGGCCAACTCGTCCGTTGGTTCATTTGCATCGTTGTGCTTAACGTTTATTGTCATCTACTATCGTCGAAAACCTCGTCGTTCTTTGTTGATCATATTTCAGTTTTTTATTAAAAACCAACAAGAAATAAAATCTAATCAATTTTACGTTAAAAAAATGTATACATATATATATTTACCTATATTAAAAAAAGAAAATACAAATTAAGTATTGGATTATTTCATGGTGAGCTGTTCTCTCTCTTTCACTCTCTCCTTTCAAGTATGCATGCTGTGATTTGTCTTGTTTATTGTTGTTGTTGATGATTTTGTTGTTGTTTGTCATCAATGTTGATAAAAGAGAAGAGCTCTCCGATTCATATGATTGTGTTATTTAGTCTATGTGGATTTTGCAAGTTCATGACTAGATCTCACACTCATCCTAATTGAGAGCACCTTCACTTGATATGGAATATATATATATATATAACTAACATATTACTAAGGCTAAGTGGAATCATGGTTGGGGTTGAGAATGATTTTATTCCTCACCGGGTTCTACACTTAGCTTTAGTGATTATGTAATGAATTCGTTTTATAATTATTATATTATCAATAAATTTCGTTTGTTTCTTTTTCTTTTTTTGGTTTTGGAATTATTGTTCTTTCGATCGAAGATTGTATAGCCGGTTAATTTGATTTGGAATATAAGATAAATCACCGGGTATAACACTCTTCCTTTGATATGTTCAATGATCGTCGATTTAATTAATTAAAAAGAAAAAAACGAGCCGGATGGTTTTATTAGATTGTAGGAAGATTGTATAGCCGATTACTTTGATTTTAATATAGTCACCGGGTACACACTCTTCCTTTTTCTGGCTCATATTTGTCGTCATTAATT